CAGACGCCCAAAACACATTTTCCCCGGTCTGCTCCAAATAATACCCGGTCGGGTATTTCTGCTCATGGTCGGGTATTTTTCTACTCCAGCACACTTCAACTCAAACGTGCTCCTTTCGACCCGAAACTCGTTTCTTTGCCTCGATGTCAACGCCAAGCCCTAAAATAGGACACAAACGCACAACCTAGCGTGAAATCCGCTTAAAACACGAGAATCAACATCTCAAACGGCGGAAGAATAAGGGTAAAAACATGTGCAATCAATGGTCTGATGTGGCAATAACCCCGTCTTGAAGCAAACAGGGGTCAGTCATTTGTTGATTGTCCGGCGGTCGGCCCGTTAGAGCTGTCGTTAGAACCACGCCAGTTGTCACAGAGGGATTACCACAGAGCATTTTTTCGATTTGTTGATGATTGGTAGATAGTCAGATTGTAATTGTATTTGATTTCATGATTTATTAGGCCCTCTTAATGTTATAACTAAAGATATACATGTCTAATTTTAGATATATTAGTGTTGGATGTAGGAGACTGGTATAACCCACGAGTATCCAAAAATCGCGGATATGAGGATGCAAAACCTCCCCCACATGGGTATGGGGCATGTATGGGTTTGAGTGTTTGAAAATCGGATTGGAGATGGTTTAGAAAATATGCCCCAAACCAGCCTCATTGCCATCCCTAGTTGGAATTTTGATATCGTCATTTGGGATATATCGAATTTGTCGATATTTGGTACCATTGAAAACACATATTGAGATTGAGATTGAATTTCAAGTGTTATTTGATATTATAGATTACGGGATTGAGATTGGCGACTCAAAATATAGCTTTGAATATCAAAATATGAACTAGGATGTACTTTAACCCTCCCAACTAGGCTCCCTTACTGACTTCTACCAGAGTCTCAACCGCCAAAATGACCACTTAATTATAAATTGGGATGCTAATGAGCTGAGTCGAACCGAGCTTTGGCTTGTTTAGATTTGGCTCGTTATTAAACGAGCTAAGCTCGAGCTTCGCTCATCTATAAATGAGCTTAGTCGAGTTGAGCTCGAGTCGGCTCATTTGTTAAAGCCTACTTGACTCATCATTAAAAACATGAGTTCAGCTTGTGCTCAACTCTATGATAATTTATATATTAAACTCTAATATTTATATGTCATATATAATACATGTGATTAAATGACTCATGTCATATACTCACATACTCAAAATCTTTAACATGTGACATATACAATTTAATAAATCTATGAATGATCAACAAGCCAACTCATAAGATAAAGATCGATTTTCTCTTAAGTCGTAGTCGAATTGGCTCACTAATCACAATGTTGAGACATCTCATGAGCTCCAAACTAGAGAGTTGATGGTTTGAGCTCCACAAGTCAACTAGTCGAGCTGGCTCACGAGCTGAACAAGGCTTAACTCAAGTTCGGATCGTTAATAGATGAATCTAAGTTTTTTCTTAATTGAATCCTGAACAACTCGACTCATTCACAATCCTAATTATAGATATATAACCTATTCTTTCACTGTTTGACACTCAGAACAAGATCATTGCATTACTTGTAATATGTTTATCAGTTACTTAGTCATTCCCTGTTTCAGTTTATTGCTTCAGTTTGTTATGTGCTTCTTAGGCACCACTTTTGCCTACTTTGTTGTTATTTTACTTAAGATTTTCTTTCATACGAGTATTGGAACCATTGTTTATATTTTGAGAATGGTTTTGGAGCTGCTAACATATGTGAAGTATTTGCTTTTAAATATTTGATTGATAATTTTGAAGGAAATTAATTTACTATTCGGTATATACCTACAGAACAAATATTAGAGATTGAGTTTGGGATATCAAATGTAATTTGGGATTGAGATTGAGATCGAGTTTAGGACACTATTTAATATTTTGATATTTGGTATTGGGATACCGATACCGTACTGATTTTGAACCCTAATTACATAAATCATGATTGGGAAGGGGACGCTTTAGGAGTAGTTAGGACTAGGAGTGGTCATTGAACTGAAACCCATGGATGCCCAACCCAACTCAACCCAATCAAAAGTGGGTAAAGGCAAATGTTGACTGGCTTTAGTTGGGTGTGACCTATTTTTCAAAATTAGTCAATTGTGTCGAGTGCAGTTTTCCTAAACCCAACTCCCTTTCTACTCGAGCTATACCCAAAGGTAAAACCACATAATTTTTTGTCACTCTAATAATATAGATAGTTTATAGCTGTTATTAGTTTTTATACAATTGATTCCAAACTGATAGTATTAAAAGCAAGAAACCCCCAAAGCTAGCTTGTTTACAGGGTTAGATCCCATCCCGTAAGTTAATTAGCTTGAGAGAATTAGCCTGGACAAACCGATTCTTGAGCTCATTCCACAGAACCTTTGTTATTTCATGGGTTTGCACACTCCTAGGTATTTCCTTATCAAGAGGATAGTTTATCCAGCAAAGCACTATGGTATTACAAGCATCCCATGAACGTTTTATAATTAAGATTTTGAATTGGGATAGACCCATCTATGAAATCCAACTTATGCTCGGTCTTAAGAACAACCCTTACAACTCTAGACCACATATGATAATTTGGACCATCTAGGACTATAGGAATGATAGATTGAGTAAGATTTTTGTTTGGGTTGATATAGTAAGCGTTACCTAATACTGAATCCACCGGACCTCGAGCAGTGTTGTGATTTGGTCCTTCAAGGTTTACTGTACCACCCACGGTAAGTAACACAACAAGAGGTCTGTAAATTAACTAATAGCATTAAAACGTAAAATTGTAAACTAAACAATTCGCCGATGTTTGGATAAGTGGGTCTCTAGGAAAGAAACAAAACGTTTCCCATACAATAAATTGCTCTTTCCTCCTAGAGGTCCTTCGTCGGGTCTGTTGTGGTCTGCAACTCCTTCTTCCTCGAGTTTTGGACAACACTGTCTTCTCTATTCATCAAGTCGACGAAGTCCACCATCTTTAATACTCTCATCCATGGTGTTGGAAAGGATAGTTGAATTGATACTAGTCTAGTGCATGCTTGCCAATAAGTACAATGGTTGGTTCTCACTTATCTTTCGGTTTATTTTCTACACGCACCAAATCACAACATCACAAATATAAACCCACATTGTTATATATATATATTATAATAAGCTTATGAATGGTTTGTCTTCGCATGGGGAGGAGGTCGATTCGCCATCGTCGAAGCCTGCTCCAACTGACGTCGATGGCAAGATGTCGGAGTGGATGACAAGATTTCTCTAGTTCAGGGGAGTCGGGGGAGTAGAGAGGAAGACAAAAAGTTATGTCGTGTGCGAAAGGTTGGGAGGGAGTTCGTAGGGTTAACTTTTAATTTTTTGCTGGATGTTTAACTTTTAATTAATTGGAGTTTAGGGACATAAACAAATTAAAACCAAACTTAGGAGTAATTAGGAGTAAATAAAGCGCAATTGGATAATTTTCCAGTTGATTAAACGGTCATTTTACAGATAATTGGAGTCTGTACGTAGGTTTAACTTTTTTTTTTTTTTGCGAAATGTTTAAATTTTAATTACAATAAAATATCTATAAATTAATACTCAATAAATTAATAATTTCTCCGGTCCCTATTTAGGCTAATGTAAAAAATAGCAAATTTAATAAAAAATAAGATAATAATTTTTTAGAACGAACCTAAATAAATACATGTATTTTCAAATCTATAAATTAATAATTCTAAAAATATAATCCATTAAAAATTTATCATATAATTAGGATAATCTAAAAAAAATGAATCTATAGTTTTTTTTGTTCTTGAAAGTCAAGTCTATTAGAATTTCATCTTGAACTTTGCTCATTGCACTCCAAATCACTTGTGTTGTCTTTTCTAATTGTAATAAGATTATAAGTATTTTGGAAGAGTTGATACGACTTTAACTACTTTCTTTTGCGTGACTAGTTTTGAAAGTGTTGAACCATCATTTTCTTAATCTTTCATTGAACTCTCAACGACGTCGGCCACTATTTCTTCTAAACTTTGTGCCTTGATACATTTATCAATTAAATACAATGAAATTTTAAATTTTAAATTTATCAATATATAGCAAATTTCTTTTTTGTCAAAAGATCACTCGTATTACTGAGAAAGCCAGATATAAGAAGTCACACGGCTGAATATAGCCAAGAAACAAAATCGAACCCTACTAAAGAAGGGTACAACTAGGACTGCAAATGAGTCAAGCTGCTCGCGAGCAACTCGGCGTTCGAATCGGAAAAAACTCGTTTGACACTCGACTCGTTATTTAACAAGCTGGCTCGCGAGCCAACTCGTTAGTTAACGAGCCAAGCTTGAGCTAGACCATGCTCAGCTTGATAAGCTCGCGAGCTAGCTTGATTCGGTGGCTTGTTGAGCTAAGCTCGCGAGCTGCCTTGTTTAGAACTTGTGGAAGGATGAATTACTCTTTTAAACATGAACATTGTCTTGTTAATGCACATGTGTATGAAATTTATATGTTATTTATAGTTTCTAGTGTTCTTTCTATCATTTAAATTCTTATGTTTACACATTTTTCCAGCAAGAATGATTTTGAATCAACCTCTTCTTGAGCCGAGCTTGTACTCAGCTTGACAAGCTATGTTAATGAGCATTTATCGAGCTCTACCGAGTCGAGCTCGAGCTAGTTTATTTTTATTCAAGCCAAACTCGAGCTCGAGCTGGATTATCTAAATTCGAGTTCGAGCCGAGCTCGAGCTAAAAAATTAATAAACGAGCCGAGCTCAAGCTAAGTAAAAACTCGACTCGACTCGGCTCGTTTGCAGCCCTAGGTACAACGAAAGGGCCTTTCTTGTCACCAAATGGGTAACCCTGTTAGCAAATTAGAAAAGTATATTTTTGTAATTTTTTTAGAGGAATATGTTTGCTAATTTGCAATGAAAGAAGAATACATTTATTAATTTATTACAAAATACGGGTAAAAAACAAAAAACAAAAAAATGTCTAGATTTTCATAAACTCCGCGCCGACTTAGCTGCCTCCTTTAAGCGTCTGTTGCTCGTCGTCGTCAGTGGAATCGCATATTGAAATCACTGGCCAGGGCTTCCGCTGCCGGCACTACCGTCCCAGTTTGATTCTCCGTTGCCGAACTCGTAGGTTTCAGAATTCAAATCGAGCTGGAAAGGAACGATGCCTCGGTGAGAGCTCCTCTCCCTCCTCCGACCTTTTTTTTCCTTTTCGTTGCTACACCGTGATTCGTTCTGGCGACAGAATGTTCATCTTTTCACTTTCTTTTATTTGTTGTTTCATTCAGGTATTACTGTGACTACTGCGATACTTACTTGACTCACGATTCAGTAAGTCTCTTCTTCCTCTGCTTCTCCTCGATACATGCTGCAGTTTTAGCTGCCTAGGGTTAGGGTTTTGGACCTCAGTAATTTCGTTTGCTCCTTCGTAATGATGAAATTCTCTGTCTTTTCCTGTTTCAGCCATCTGTTAGAAAGCAGCACAATGCGGGCTACAAGCACAAGGTACTTGCTTGTCTGTTCTGTATTTGTGTTATCCATGTATCTGGCTGGCTGTTTACATTGCCATTATTTGTTTCTGATTAGCTTCATCTTCTTACCTCTATAGGCGAATGTAAGAATCTACTACCAGCAGTTTGAGGAGCAGCAAACCCAGAGTTTAATTGACCAGCGGATTAAGGAACATCTTGGGCAAACTGCAGCATTCCAGGTTGGAGGTGCATACAATCAGCATCTCATGGCTCAAAGGCCGCGTCTTCCCATTTTGCCGACACCTATGATGCCAATTCCTGGGAACCCTAATCTACCTCCCGGCGCACAACTAATGCCTGGAATGAGGCCTCCGCTTTTGCCTAGACCTGGCATGCCACCTCCTGGTGCTCCAGGTAATAACCTGCAAAACTTTTTTTTATGGAGCACTTATGCTACCTACTGGCCCTGATAGCATTTACTAAGTTTTAGGTGGAATTTGCATTGTTTGATTAGATTGCCATCAACTCTCTCTATCAATCTACTGTCTTTGTCGAGTGTGTCTAATATGGCGTTTCACTTCTTAATAATGTTGAATGTTATGACTTGGTGATGTATATATCTCAGTGTACTTGCCAAGTTTCACAGTCCTCTGTCATTTTTACGTTTTCATGCAGTTGGCTTACCCCAATTATTGCCTGATCAGACCATAAATTCATTACCAGGGGATTTGGTTCTCGATGTCAATAGAATGCTAATACAACACGATATTAGTCATGCTGAAATGAGCTGTAGTGGTCTGTGAAATTTTCATGGATTCAGCTCAGCTATTTGGTTGGTGAAATTTTCAGACTGGTTTTGAGGACTATCTGCCTTCTGTTGGTTGCTGTGTGTCATCAAGGGAAATTTCATAGCATGTGTTGCTTTTATTTGGTGATGTATCATGCGACAAATTTTGAAACTGAACATTTTCCCTTGTGGTGTTGGTTAGGTTACATGCCTGTTCCAGGGATGCCTCCAATGATGGCACCACCAGGTGCTCCTTCCTTTCCTGGTCAAGTAAATGGTGCACCAAGGCCACCTCCTCCAGGTATAGTTCCAGCAAGTGTTCCTGGGAGTACTACGCCCATGCCAACTGCTCCAGGTCCACCACCCTCAATGGCTCCACCTCCCAATTATCAGCCGCATACCCAAGCACCCTCAAGCGGGGGTTTTGATAGCTACAACAATGTTAATCCACCAGCTCCTGAAGCAAATCATTAGTCTCTTATCACATGGTATGCACTTGTCTTTCAATCTGGTGAATTGCAGAGCCCAATTAACTTCTAATTGGTGTTTGTTGAAAATCTGCCTTTGTGCATAAAATTTTGCAGATGAAACACATCTGCGCATTGACGCACCTAGAAGAATCTAAGTATCAGCTTTGCTCCATGAAATGTCTGGGAGAAATTGACCGATGCTCTTATCTTACGAAGTCACACTGATTAGTATTTGTCATTTTTTCTTGGGAAACTAGTTGGCTGGAACATCAGGCTGCACTATGTGTCCCTGTATTGGCAAGTGAAATGAGAATTTGTTCTGCAAGTTTTGCTGTTTTAAAAACTTAGAATGTGTGGTCTTAAATCTTAACTTTAGTTTCTATTACCGGGGTTCTCTTATTCAGTTTTTACCCGAAGCACAATCATCAATACCCGCAGAGTGAATGGTGTCGTAAACACAGACCGAAATAAGTAACACCTTTAATATGGTGCAGTGAGATGAACAATCAATATGCATGGTAGCCCAGAAGCACAGCACTGAGCACATCAGAATTAGAAGAGAGTGAGTCGTTATTATCACCCTTTCCATTACGATTACCATTACCATTTCCATCGCCTCTTTTCTTTTCTTCTTCTTCCTTCCACTTAGTCTTCCTCAACCAGTGCTTCACCAAAACAACTCCAAGCCAAAGGAAAACGGTCCCCAAACCGCCACCACAAATGGCCACAGACGCTTCAAACTCCCAGCTCCCCTCGTGACCATGCGGCATAATCACACATGTCCCTGCTACGTAAGCTACAGCCATGAAAGCCACTGCTACCCATAACAGCTTGTGAGCAACCCTGAGCAGCTTCATCAGCGGCTTCCTCCGAAATGGGATGATGCTGACCAGAACCACCACTATCCCAAGAGACGTGAACAATGCAATGTTGTTGCTTATCATGAAAACCCTGAAAGCTGTTGTTCTCCCCACCATCGATCTCCCTCCCAATCGACCATCTTGATGGACTCCACCTGGAGGGTTGATCCCGGCTGCGAAAGTCACTGTGGCGATCAGTATGGCTACTAGTATGATTGTGTTCCTGGCATTCTGCATAGCCTCTATGTACACCTTCTGGTTCTTCTTGTGCTGCATCTTGTAGATTTTGATCAGCTCCTCCCTTCGCAGCCGGCTATCATGCTTAAATGGTTCTGCTGCTGCTGTTGTCTTTGTTGCAGAGTCTTGCCTAATCTGCGGGCTGGTGGTTCCCTCGTTTGATGTTGAGATTTGATGAAGATTTTCAAATGAGTAATAGTTCCGTGATGGGGCTATTATTCGGCTATATTCGCGCTCCAATGCATCTCTGGGCCTCTCTTCTACTTCTTCTGAGCTGCTTGTTTTGCCACCTGCTCGTACCAACATTTCTCTCAGGGTGCTGAGTTCTACACTGTTTTCAGCATTGTTTACTACCATATCAAGTGCTGTAAGTCCTCTGGCATTTTGTTGGTTGATCTTCACTCTTGTTTCATTGATTATGAATCCTGCTAGCTGCAAGCCAAAGGAGAGGCGTCTTTCTTTGGTTAAATCCTCAAGTACCAGAAGAAGAAGAAAGTGTGTTTGGCCAGACTTGCCTACTCCAAAAGTGCAAGTTAGAACGAAAAAAGTGAATGAAGTTAGAAGAAACAGATGAAATATGGATGTAGACTACCGAGTAATGTCCACCAGAGACTCCAACGTGTAGAACTGTGTTCCCAAACTGGTCAGGGCAGTAAAGTAGCCTGGTGTCACTGAAAGCACCCGCCAGGAACTTGAATGCAATGCGTCTGTTGAACCTTGCGGCCAGATGAAACACGGTTTCACCATCCGTGGTGAGGCGGTGGAATGATACAGGATCCATCTCCATGAATGCTTTGAGGGTTGTAGCATCACCGTTGATGGCTGCCAAGTGAAGTGGCGTGTGGCCATTGTTGTTGACTCGCAGGGCCATGCCCTTGTCATGCTTTAGAAGCATCCTTGTTATGTCCAGGTGGCCTTCGCTGCAAGCATGGTGCAACGGGTTGCATCCATTTTCGTCCATCTTCTGTGCCAAGTTTGGCGATGCCTTCAGTATCTCCCTCACGATTTCTGCATAAATGGATGAAATAACAAATCTCAATGATTGCAGTCTTACAAATGGACTGTGTTAAAACTTTGTCAAGATGTGTTTTTCTTTCCACATACCTGTGTGCCCTTTAGACGCAGCAACATGAAGAGAAGACATGGAAACATCGTCATCATCTTCAAGGTCCAGCAACCATGGTTGACTCAGTAGAATCTTAACCACATTTAAATGACCATTGCTGCTACTGAGGAAAAGAGCACTTTGATGATTGCAGTTGAGCTTGCAGGCCACCCATGGATGAGCCTCTAGCAGCATCAGCACAACCCTTGGGTTGCCTTGCCTGCAGGCCTCATGGAGCGGAGTTTCCATGTTCTTGTTCTCAGCCAGAACCATCTCTGGCTTAAGCTTCACAATCTCCATCACCAAATCTTCTTTTCCATATTTGGAAGCCAGGTGAAGTGCTGTTTCTAAACCAGACTTGGTGGTATGGTCCAGAATGTTGCCGTTCTCCTGAACCAAGCTGCTCAGCATTTCCCTGTCATTCCTCACTATTGCCTCAAACAGACTTGGGTGCATTTTTTACTGGGATTTTGGCCTGATTGAGGGTGGTTCTTAGGAAAAATGACTCTCAAAATTCCATCTTCTTAAGTTTTCATTAGGGAGAGGGAAAGTGGAGACAAGTTGGCTGACTTTTGCTCCATGATTAGGACTTACAATGTTGATTCTCAGAAATTTCTTGATCCTGTCAGCAGCAGAGGATTTTCAAGGAAAGTCCCATTTTTTGTAGGCCCCACCTTGTTAAGATCCTTTGACTTTTCTAAAAGTGACTCGTAGTTTAGTTAATTTGATTCTTAGTTTCATGGACTGGGTTTAAAGTTTAAAGCAATAAGAAGCGAGCAGAAGCAGGAATGACAAGTAAACAACAGGAAAGCTAACATTGATAAACAAAAACAACAACACTAATGCTGTCCAACAATCTCAAACTCTCCAAACTAATAATCAACCAAACAATAAATGACAACCAACAACTAGAATCCGACTGACACTGAAGGAAACAAAAACATAAGTAACCAAGATAAATTCTGGTGGTCTCATGGCGCACACAAGAACAGGGCAACAAATGTGGCAATGAGAACAACAGTGACACAACTGACGATGACCGACATGATCACTGCAGAGCTCGGCTGATGAGATTCAGATGATGATGGCACCATGGAAGATGAAGAAGAAGATCCTTGTGGCGGGTAAGCATAGGCAGGTGGGAAGGCAGGCTGAGGCGGCAGAGATGGATGGTGTGGGTGCTCATGATGGTACATCGACATAACTTCAACAACAAGCAACTGCCCATTGTTGCAGTGGTTGAAGTTCCCACTGATGAAGTAGAAAGGCCCCGGCTGCTCCAGCTTGAAACTGCTCCTCCCATTGTCGAAAACGGCGGTTGCCGTGCTCGTGTTGCAGTGGTAGTAGCCCCATTTGTCCACTTCTGCTACTGAATCGTTCTTGTACTCAAACACTTCAAAAGAAAGAAAAAAGAAACGTAATCAAAGCTAACGGAGGGAAGGAGGAAGAATGAAGGAATGGAATTTGTATCCTTTCAGACTTACAAAGGGAATCCCCAACTTGGAATCTGTTGGTGGTGGCCCACTGAGCGTAGAGCTGGGAGTTGTTGCTGGTTGGTTCTTGCCATCCGAAATCGTCACCGACCTTGAACACCCTTGCAGCTTCAGATGTGGTTGCTGAATTGCTGATGATCATGATCACCGCCATGGCTGCTGCTGCTGCCAACAAGGGGAATGCAGGTGCTGCTGCTTTGCCGACCTTCTTCATTTTGTGCGCTGATGGAAGCGAGAAAAAAAGGTGAGAACTTTGGGGTTTTTGGGGGTTGATCTCTGAGAAAGTTGGAAGCTTTTGAGTGAGCGAGGGAGGAAAAATGGTGAATTGGGTTGGTGGAGTTGGGGTTTTATGCTGTGGGAGAGTAGTAGTAGTGGGGAGCGGTTGTGGTTTGAAGGGAGAGAATGTGGGTTTCTTTGGAGGGAAGGCAGAGAGAGGTGGGGGCAATTTTGGCGGTTAAAATGGAAGTTATACAGGGAATGAGGCTGACTTTTTCAACAAACACGAGTTAAAAGAGAACAAGCAGTTTAACGGGCCTAAAATGGACGAGGAAAGAGATTGCGGTTAGAGCCCAGAACTATATACACGTTCAACAGAGACGGTGGGAGAAGCCAATTGACAATTGGCTCCAATTTGATCAAATTTAAGAGAAATCGACCCATTTATTTTGATCGGCTGACTTGGCATCTGAGACCTATTTGTCACTCGTGGATTCCTGACTAATTCGGCCCGTGAGAATTAAACGGGTCAAACGTCAAAAACACAGTGAAAATATAAGTGAGGCTCTTAAAACAATTCCATTGCATATGTGGCACTCCACTTACTACGAGCTCAAAAAAATTTACAATTTCAACTTAATTAAACCAATAAAATTTTCTTATTTAATTACCAATAATAAAACATAAGCTGTTAATTAATCACAATGTATTATAGTTGTAAACGACAATGAAAAAGAAAATCCACAAAGTAATGACAAATAATTTTCAATAAAAAAGACAAGAAATATTTATGCCACAAACTAAAATAATGAAAATATATTCATTAGTCAGGCTCAAGATAGTGTGAGTAAACTTAGAGTGCTTAACATAAATAATCAAATCTGGATCCTTCATTTTAAGTGAGTTGTATCTCTAAGGGTTGAAAATAAAATACATTTTATTTCCCCTATTTTTTTTAATCGGAACATATCTTCTTCGTTCTAACTTGGATTTCAATTTTTTTTTTTTACACAGATGGAACGAGTTCGTTGTGCTCTACAAAATGATATCCATTTTTATTATTTTTTAAGAAAAAAAATTCATACCTTTCATTACCAACTCCATATCATATGATATCTTCTTCGTTTTTAAGTTGTTTTTAAAAAATTTTGTATAGAAGGAACGAGTTCATCATGATCTATTGGATCTACAAATTTCTGGGTGAACAAAATACAGGACCAAAAAATACATACAAACCAACCTGGTATGGGACTAGTCTCTTGTGGTACACAATGTTGAAAGTCGTAAATGACAGTTAGTATACTCCTACTATCATGTATTCATTTATCCTACAATCTTGTTATGTTTATACCAGCATGATACGATTTTCATACCATACGGTATGCTCTTATATTAATACCAATCAATACCACCATGGTATAGACTAGTAAAAAATGCCTCAATTTTTTTGTTCCATAAATATATCAAAGTAGATATCATTTCAAAGAGCACAATTAATCTGCTTTATTTGTGCAAAACAATTTAAATTCCGAATAAAAAAGAAAGAGAAATCGTCTGTTAAAGATTAAAAACTTTTCATGAAAGAGAGAAGATGTTGATATGGCGGATTCTGGTTGGATTATGTATGGTTATTGATCATAGAGTATGCACTGGATCCGTTCCCTTGGAATCAATACAATCAGCCCATAAAAAAATGAGTGGCCTATCTACCGAGACATCCTCCTAGGGATGGCATCGAGTGGGGCACATAGTGCATATTCTTCACCCTACCCAAAGTAGTTTGGGTTTTACCCATAACCATACCAACATGAGAATCAGGTAGAAAATCAAAGTGATGTTCATCCCGTTCGGGTTTCGGGTATTCACGATTATCCATGGATAATAAGTTATCTTTATAACTCCAACCAACATGTTAACATTCACACGTATAATCACATTATATAAGTGAAAAGTATGACAATAATTAAGCAGAATGATAAAAGTATGAAAGACTTTTTGGTTGTAACACCCTGACTTTCGGGTTCAGGTTAAACCATAATAAATGAATGGTTGGATTAATGGTTATGTACAAAGGGTTGCAACTGCTGATTAGAAATAATAATAATAATAATAATAATAACTAGTTATATTATTATTGTAATTAAAAAAGAAGAAGATAAAGCCCGGCCAAGAGGGCACTTAGCCCTCATTAACCCTTTTCCCATCACAACTACAGAAACCCCCCCAGCAAAGTAGAGCAGCCGCCCCTCTCCCAGCAAATGAAAACCCCACTCCAATTACAAACAAAGTAAAGTAGTTGCTCTCCCCATGATTCGTGGAGCTTAAAGCCACCGAAAGTCCTTGATGGCAGGTTCCTATAATGGGCGAGCAACGATACGGAGGCGAGCGCTCTCATTTTTTTTCAAAGCAGAGGGATACCGATGCAATAGACAAATGAAGGCGTCATTTATATGGGTTATTGCATTGGGTGGAAATTTGTTGATTATTTGGGGCTTATATAGAGGGTGGATAATGAAGATTGGTGGGGAATAGTCCGAATGGTGTGGAAGAAGTGGAGGTTGTCGGTTGACATAGGCAAGAAGGATGGGACTATAGCCCAAATTCGAACGGACAAGGTTGGGTTGAACTATCGCATAAGGAATGATAATGTAATGGAGATCCAATAAGGAGAGAGACGACAAGGGCAATCTGCGATAGGGGCAATCCACGTTAACGATTATTGAGGTTCATCGATTGACTACTAAGGAGAGTGTAAAAGGGGTAAATTCTACGCCTTACGTATTTTCAAACAGTTAGCTTATGCATTTTAAGTATTTTGTGAAGTGGTTGATATGGTTGTTTATGCGTTTAATTGATGATATGAGACTTGTTTGAATTATGATGTGAAGTGAATGTTTATTATTTACTTTGAAATTTTATGAGTATAAGTTATTGTTAAAGTTTAAGAATTCGTTTTAAGAAGTAACTCACCTTCAATGAAGGTGAAGTCGTTTTAAGTGTTTTTAGTCACTAGCGCCAATTCGTTGCCATTTGAGATATTTAAGTTGAGCAGCAGTTATGCTCTTGAGATATTTAAGTTGAGCATCAGTTATGCTCTTGAGATTTTTAAGATGAGCAGTAATTATGCTCTTTAGAATCGTGGAAGAAGAGCCTTCCACGATAAGTTTATGTTTAAGGAAAGCTTGGAGGACTTCTCATACGTATGAGTTGGGCAACCGGACTAGCTAGTGAGGGATCCCCGTGTCAGTCAAGTATTTAAGTCACGATTTGAGCTTTAAGAGAAGAGAGTAACTTCAACTCCCTCAAACTTTAAGAGTTAAGATTTTTAAAAGTGGAAGTACAAAAACTTCCACCAATTTAAGTAAGTGTTTTAAGTAAAGTGCTAAGCAGTAGGAAGTTTAAATCGTAAGGGCGTAGACTGACCCCAACTCACTCACCAGTTTGAAGAGGTAGACGAGGAGCTAGAAGAACAATTAGAGAGCAGCGAGATCGAGAGAAACAGTTTGAGTGAAGCCAGCTAAAGGAGGACGGTACGAGCGCCACGGAGGATGTCTAGTCATGGTTTTCAGTAAACATCAGCATTAGAGACTGCTTAGTTATTTACATTTTATGATTATGAGTATAAACTGGAGATCAGGTTGAGACTCTCCAAGTTTGAGTTTGCCCAAGTGTCAGGGCTACGAGTTTAAGTAATGATAGTTTTTTTAAGTATCTATAAAAGTTATTTATGAAATGTTTCCGCTATTTTTCTAAGTATTTTTAGTTCTTATTTTATTTCACGGTTTATCAAGGGTATTTTTGGTAAAAGTAGTGTCCGACCGAACTAGGGTGTTTCATTTTGGTATCAGAGCTGGTCTTCCTCTGTTCCTTGGTCTCCAAGTAATACTGGAATATCGGTCACAAATTTTAAAGGCTTTTGTTTTAAAGGAAAGGAAAAAGAGTCAAGGATCTTCTTTTAAGAGTCTATAGAATCTTCAGTCTACTCTAATCGTATTAAGATAAATAACTTTAGTCCTAATAAAAGGGTGCACCAATCGCAACGTGTTATCTCGAGGTATAGGTACGACGAATCAAAGGAGTTGAAGGATCACTACGAGTATTTTTCTACTTAGCCAGTAGCAAACGATCTGATAGGTTAAGATATACAAATAGGAGAACTATGAATCTCTAAAGAAAGAGCTACAGTCACTAGATGTCAGTAGCTATAATGATGGGAGGATTTCAGGGTTCTTGACCGTAAGAAGTGGCAAGGAAGCAACGAGTCAAGAAACGAAGAGGTATCACGAGAATTTCCCCAACTGGTTTTAGTCGTCGACGGCTTGGCGCTATTACAACACAGTGACAAGGAGCAGTGGAAAGCTCAGACTTTAAGAAAAGCTAAGGTAGTATAAATGAAGCAAAGGAGGAAATAAGTAGGTTATATGGAGTATGAAGGGACGTCAAGAAGTCAATAAGTCAAGGAGGAGAGGAGGCATGGATAATTTAAATATGGAGATAAAGGAACCCTTATAGATAAACTACGTCACTAGAGAAGAGGGTACATGACCCTGGGAAGTTAGGCTGATAACAAGCATTTAGAAGGAACAAGACAAGCAACGAGATAACTAATGTAGAGGACAAGTTATGGTCTCAGTACTACCACCATTAGACGAGACATGGGGAAAGTGCCACCAAATTCTAAAGCATGCCTGGTAGAAGACAGTGGTGAGCCAATCCGTAAGAAAAGACATGGAATGTGAGAGAGAATAACTGTTAGTGAGTACGAATAGAGAACTACTTCTCAGCAATGCGTGAGCTGAATACTAAATTAACAACGAGCTAGAAAGAGGATATCAGAGGCACTACAAACTACCCAGATCACGAAAGTTTAGGAGGTCGTTAGGACCGTTGGGAGGGGAATGGAAGAATTCACGATGATCTGTTATGGGATTGTCATATCCTAAATGGAGGGAGCACCTAGCCTTCCTAGGGTACATGAGGGGTGACTGAAGGAGGAACCTCTGTAGTAAGTTGGAACTAGAGGGCTAAGAGCTGGAGTCTCGGAACCAGCTGTAGGATTAAGGCATTCAACCAACCGAGTATAGACAAAGAAGTAGAACGTTTATTGGAAGTTCCAATAGATGTTAGAGAATTCGAGGAGAAGTCTCAACGGTCGTAATAAAGAGAGTTTGCATACAATACCAGGAAAGAGCAAGAAGACTAGAGGAAGTTTGATGAGATTTCAAGAAGTCAATTGGTCAAGTCTCGGGTGGGATTTGCAAGTTTCTTTGTGCGAATTTATTGTTAAAATCGCTTAATGATTGGCAAGCAATCTAGAAGTAGTACTGGACTTTG